CAGGCTCTTTGCTCAGCAGGGAGCCTGCTTCCCCTTCTCTCTCTGCCTATCTCTCTGCCTACTTGTGATCTCTGTCTGTAAAATAAATAAATAAAATATTTAAAAAAAAAAACATTTTAAAAGGAGTTCATGTTTTGTCTCCACACGATACGACAATGAAAAGGAGAAACATGCTTTCTTCTCAGGTAGTTTTACTAACTAGCTAGGAGACCCTAACAAAGTATTTTTTTTTTTCCCTTAATTAGTTGAAGCCTCACTTTCCTCATCTGTCAAATGGAGGCCTTTATTTCCAGAGTTCCACCAGTTCACTGGTGGCAATAGGCACCATGAAGACACAGACACAGACAGCTTTTTTAGCTAAAGGGTATTCTGCATCCTCTGCTCTGACGTCTTATTACTGAACAACTCATAAGCATGTGATCTAGTTCAGGAGTCTTTTAGCAACCAAGACCAGGACTCTATCTCTATGTGAGGGTCCTTTCATAAGGTCACCTTTGAAAGGGACAGATGAGTTCATTAACAACAGAGATTTTTTAAAAGATAATACTCCAATTTGGCGAGCAGGTTTTGAAACAGGTACTCTCATTCCCTGCTGGTAAATTATGTAAAGTGGTACCACTTCTCTTGAAATGAACTGGACAGTACAAGTCAAGACCCTTGAAATAGTCGTTATTTTCTCATCTAGTAATTATACTTCTGGGAATCAAGCCTAAGAAAATAATGCAAAATATTTATAAAAGCTTTATGCAGAAAGAGGTTATTGCTGTAATATTTTAATTTACAGCAACAAAAAAAAAAACAGTGGAAACAGCATTGAAATGTGGAACACTTTTAATAATATAGGAAAGTACTTCTCTTAAAATATTAATAAAATTGAATACAATGTGATATAGTGTGATTGTAGATGGATAGATAGATAGATAGATAGATAGATAGATAGACAGACAGATAGACCTGTAATATATATATATGACAGAAACTCACCAAAATGTCATTAGTGGTTGCCTTTGGGTGTTGGAATTTGGGGTTCAATCTGAGTCATAACCTCACCTATGGCCCAGAAGACAGTATCAATGACCATAAATAAGGACACATGTTTGCTGAACAACCAACAATGATCATGCATTACAGAGTGATGAATCAGGCTCAGCAGCCTTGAAAGATGAAAAATATTTTGCCAGGTATAACAGGGACTTTGCATCATTTATCACCACCCCTCCAAACACCCCTAAAATTAGTGTAAGTGGATAAAACATGTATTGGACAAAGAGAATAAGAGAAAGGATTATAGTAACAATATTTTGGGATCTAGAAAACAAACAAAAAAGTGTATTGGTACTTTTCCAGGAGAAGCCAGGAAGCAAGCAGATTCACACAACAGGACCCTGGGAAGCCTCTGAAATAAGAGGCACCAGGCACCTCTGAAGGTGAGGGCAGGTGGGCTAGAAACAGGAGGATAAATGGGTCAAAAGTCTGTATAAAAATTAGGTATACCTCCATAGCTCCTTTCTACCCCAACCCTACCTTATGCCAACCACTCCTCCTTTACCCCAGGAGAAACTGGAGGTGTACTCTGGAGTATTTACCCAGAGGGACTAAACCCTGAGGGACCAAGCACAGCTAGGGGTGGGGTAATAAACTGATTTAAGTCAGATTAACTGAGACTGAGACCCTCTCAGTCTCCTTCCTCCACATAGCTTCCTGAAAGCTGGTAGGCCAGGCAGAAAATTAGAGGCATCCTTCCTGAGGAAGACCCTACCCAAAAGAAAAGGTCTACATATACTGACATTTGAGGTTTCCCAATAAAACAACATAATCTCCACCAGATTGCTCTACAGTGAGACTCAGCAAGGGAAAAGCCCCTTACCATGTCCACACACACACACACATACACACACACACACTCACTCACTCACTCACATTCCAATCAGCTTCTTAGTACGTACTCTTAAATATTAACCAAAAATCAAGAAACACAGACTTTGAGGGAAGCTTCTGGCATAAATGACAGAGATAAGACAAATCAGGAAAAAGGCAGCTGAGAAGAAACTGAAATGATGATGGAAATGAAAGAATTATTAAAGCCATGATCAATAGCTCAACAAGGTAAAAGGAAATATTATGTCTTTTTTTTTTAAGATTTTATTTATTTATTTGACAGAGATCACAAGTAGGCAGAGAGGCAGGCAGAGAGAGAGAGGAGGAAGCAGGTTCCCCGCTGAGCAGAGAGCCCGATGCGGTGCTCGATCCCAGGACCCTGGGACCATGACCTGAGCCGAAGGCAGAGGCTTTAACCCACTGAGCCACCCAGGCGCCCCAGGAAATATTATGTCTTGAAACAACAACAAGAGACTATTTTTAAAAAGCATCCAGAGTTACTAAAATGTATCCAACTTTTTAAAAACTAAGTAATAAGATTGGATGGCAAAGTTTAGGGAAAGCTCAGAAAGTTGAAAAAAAAGAGAAGTTAGATGAAAAACAGAATGAAATACATAGCAAAAAGAAGAGTTCCAGAAAAATGGAGGGGAGGAAATTGTGCAATAAATAGGAACATGAATTTCTACACTGAAAGATGCTGTCAAGTGCCCAATCCAACAGATCCAACACAGCCACAGGGAGGCAGAACATGTGATAGCGCAGCCAGCTAGAGAGCAAGAGAAGAGCCTAAAAGATCTGGGGGAAGGGTCAGGAGTCAGATAGCATCAAATATCTAGAATCAAAACAGCATTAGACTTCTCAGTAGCAACACTGGAAGCCAGGAAATAGTGACACAATATTTTCAAAGTGCTGAGGGGAAAATTCTTTGCAACCTAGAATTCCATACCCAACCAAACTATCCATCAAGAATGGGAGTTAGACTAATGATGTTTTCAGACATGAAAAGTTTACACATCCTCTCTCAGGAAATTGCCAGAGGATGTGTTTCATGAAAATGAAGAGGGAAGAAAAGAAGAAGGGAGTCATGGGATCCAGAAAGAGAGAAGCAACACAGAAAGAAGGGATGTCCAAAAGGACAATGAAGGAAGATTTCAGGATGACAGGAGGCACAGAGAGCACCCAGAACTTGCTGGAGCAGGACAGTGGGCTCCAAGAGAAATACCTTCAAGAAGATAAAACTGATAGAATATTCAGTGTTTTAACATTTTAGGAGATCTATACTTCTGGCAGTGAACAAGGGAATACATTTAGGTTAGGTACACAGAAAACCTCAGCAAGTTAAAAAAGATATTTATTCCAAAGAAATGTAAAATAGTATAAAATATTTTTGACTATAAAGAATAGCTAAATAGTCATGATAATGTAAAATTAAACATTTCTCTAGTGAAAATATGGATATATTATTGAGAGAGTAGGAAGAAGGAGGGAAGGGCAATGTTGCATAAGAGCTGAATCCCCCTCCTTCACAGCAGGAAGTCAAGAAGTTAGAAGCTAAATTTGAGGGGCCCCGGGTTGCTCTGTTGGTTGAAAATCTAACTCTTGGTTTCAGTTCAGGTCACGATCCTAAGGTCATGGGATCAGTCCCCACATCAGGCTCCAGGCTCATCGTGGAGTCTGTTCGAGATTCTCTATCTCCCTCTCCCATTGATTCTCCTCCTGCCCAGACCCCACTCTTTCTCTCAAAATAAATAAAATCTTTTTTAAGAACTAAGACTGAAAAAAACAACCAAGAAATGGTTATATAAGCCTGGGATTTAGAAATAAGGCCAATGCCTAAAGTAATAGCTAGGAGCTGAAAGTGGAAGGTGGGAACAGAGGCACATGACACAGCCTGAGGATGGTTCTTTTCCATAAAAAGACTTATTATGTGACACATACATAACTTTGATTTTGTTAATTAAATTTTTTAAATATAGAAGGCACCCATAGCGAGTGAGAAGTGTGGGGCAGGATGGTTGACTACTGTGTGCAGAGCAGGAAATGATGGGAAAGCACCACAGTGGGTTGAAACAGAGGGTCAAGAGGTAAAAGGAACATCATGGGTGGTTAAACAGAGGAGTCCTGATCAACATCCTTGCTCTTGATCTTGACTGTATTCTTGCTAGAAGGGCCATCAAGCAGAAATGGGAATGAGAGAGATGGATAGCGAGGGGCCTGCTTAGGGGGCCGTGCCTAGTTCTTGGGAGAGAGGAAGCGGGTCTGAATGTGGGGGTGGTCATATGGGGACGAAGAGGAGGGCATGAGTGACAGATGTTTCCTAGGGGGCTTGTTGGCCTCGGGCCCCTGTCCAAGGGGAATGAGAAAGAAGAGGCTAATGCGGGTGATGAAGAGGAACAGGTTGGGAGAAGAAACTTCCGTTCTAACCATGGACCCCATCACAAAGAAGAAGACTCTGTTTCCCACCATCCAACACAGAACTTGTTGGACAAGTGTGAGGGGCCAAAGGGTAGAGTTAAGAGCTCAAGCTTTGGAGTCTTTGGGATAAAATATCTAAAAAGAGTGAGTGGCATTAAAAAAAAAAAAAAAAAAGCACAGCCTTCTTAACCAGACAGACCCAGTGTGAACAACAGTCACCTCTTACTATCTGCATGACTTTATGCAAGTTACTCAACCTCTCTGAATGGCAGGGTTATCTCCATTCCAAAATGGGCCTGACCACACCCACCACCCAGGGTCGCTGTCTGCTCCCGGGAGCTCCTTCCTGTCCTGTGTCCCCACCTCCCACGCCCTTGCTAGCAGAGGGCTTTTCTAGGAAGACCCTACTGATGCTTCTGAGTGTTGCTGTTTTCTGGACCCCTCGGGCTGTGAGGTCCCAGAAGGTCCCTGGGAGACACCTTCAATCCCCCTCCCATTAGGACCTCCCAATCCCCCTCCCAAGAACAGAGACCACACAGGTTTGCATCAACCAGAAAGTCAGCTTTATTAGCCCACCACCAGCGGAGGGGAAGGGGAGACAGCAGGGCATCGCACTGGGAGAACAAGGCCCTGGCCCAGGCCATCAGGAGGCGGGGGCCGGCGGGGGGGCAGGAGGCTCTGGAGGAGGCAGCTCAGTGCTTGGAGGCCTAGCCCTGGTTGAAGCTGGATGAGACCTGCTCCTTGAGGATGGGCCTGGTCTGGTGGCCGGAGGAGGAGGAGGAGGAGGAGAAGACTGTGGGAGAGAGATGAGGGGGTGAGAAGGGCATTGGGAGCTAAGAGGCCCCACACAGGGACAGCTGGGGTCTCTGAGGGGCCCAGGACCCTCAGGAGCCTTACCATTGTGGGAAGAATAGGAATGGCTGGACCCTTGTTGGGAGGAGAGGCTGTGGGGGAGACAAGACAGAGCAGTTAGCTATGCTGGGAACCGCTACAGGGCTAAAGGGTCTGGGGGACGGAAGTTGGGGGTGGGCACTCACTGGGCGTCCTCGCCCTCCAGCAGGCGGCGGTAGGTGGCGATCTCCTGCTCCAGCCGCGTCTTCACGTCCAGCAGGACCTGGTACTCTTGGCTCTGCTGCTCCATCTCACAGCGGAGCTGCGCCAGCTGCTCCTCCACGTTGCCGATCAGTCCCTGGATCTGGGACAGCTGCATGCAGTAGCGGCCTTTGGTCTCCTCCAGGCTGCCCTCCAGGGATGCTTTCTGTGAGTGGGAGAAAGAGAGTCAACAGAGGTGGTCACTATTGTCCCCCCAGGCCTCTGGGCATGTCTCCTGAGAGGTACATGGACTGTGACTCCAGCTGGGCTACTGATGGGCCAGACAATGTGGAGAAAAGTTACTCCATTGTTCTGGGCCTTAATTTCCATGTCTATAGAATGGATAGAATGATCCCTCTAATCCCACTCCTGGGTTGAGAGAGGCAGAACTGTACCTTGGCAGTGTTAAGGGGCTGGTGGCCCTTACTGGGGACTTGGGGTTGGGGGCTGGGCGGGGTCCTTCATACCATGCTGAGCTGGGACTGCAGTTCAATCTCCAGGCCCTGGAGCACCCTCCGGAGCTCAGTCACCTCACTGCGGCCACTCTGCACCAGCTCACTGTTAGAAGCCACTTCTTTGTTCAGTTCCTCGGTCTGCAAGAGCAAAGAAGAGCAGGTGGGAGACACTCCAGAGGTGCCCCCTGCTTGGGGCTGGGCAGTCCTGCAGGAGGATAGAGGACCCGAGCCCCACCTTGCTCAGGAACCAGGCCTCCGCATCTCTGCGGTTCTTCTCTGCCATCTGCTCGTACTGGTCACGCATCTCATTCAGGATGCGGCTCAGGTCCACGCCAGGAGCAGCGTCCATCTCCACACTGACGTCCCCGCCAGTCTGACCCCGCAGGGCAAGCATCTCCTAGGAAGGGGAGGCGGGAGGTGGTCAGCTCAGCTGACCCCTTTCCTGGCTCCTGAGCCAGCCCCGGGCGGCCACACCAGCAGCAGCCCTCACCTCCTCGTGGTTCTTCTTCAGGTAGGCCAACTCCTCCTTCAGGCCCTCGATCTGCATCTCCAGGTCGGTCCTGGCCAAGGTCAGCTCGTCCAGCACCCGGCGCAGGCCGTTGATGTCGGCCTCCACGCTTTGGCGCAGGGTCAGCTCGTGCTCGTACCTGGCAGGACAGAGGTCAGGGCATCAGGCTCCATCCAGGAGGCTTCTGAGGCTCAAGGCCAGTGGCCCCAGCGCTTGCCTCCTGTCCTCTGCCCCACACTCAGCCCGCCACGGTGGTTGCTCACTTGGTCCTGAAGTCATCCGCCGCCAGCCTGGCATTGTCGATCTGCAGAATGGGCTGAGCATTCTCGATGGTGGCAGCGATGATCTGCAGACAGGGTGGAGGGACAAGCCTGTCAGCCAAGCCTGCTGCTCAGGAGGGGAAGAGCAGAGAGGGAGGAAGGTATCTCCCCACTCTCGAGGGTTGCCCGGCTGGCAGGTGAGGTCCTCCAGCCAACCTGGGTGTCTTTTCCACCCAGCTCAGGGTGTGTGGAGGGATGTCCCCCAGTCCCTCCACTGCCCCCCGCATCCTCCATCCCAGGATGAGAGAAGCTGAGGGTGCAGAGGGGATAAGAGAGTCAGAGCTCCAGACCCAGCTCAGACATCTCGATGCTGCCACCAATTCTGAGTGGCCTGTGGCCTCTCCCCCGAGGTGGGTCAGTCTCCCTGTTTGTAAAATAAAGATGCTAGAAAGTGGCTTCTTAAGGGCCACTGCAGCCATGACCTCTCTCAACGCTCCACCTCCCAGCGCCGCCCACCTGCCCTGCACACCTTGTTCCGCAGGTCCTCGATGGTCTTGAAGTAAGGGCTGTAGTCCTTGACCTCACTGGGCCGCTGCCTCTGGTACCAGTCCCGGATCTTCACCTCCAGCTCCGTGTTGGCCTCCTCCAGGGCCCGCACCTTGTCCAGGTAGGAGGCCAGCCGGTCGTTGAGGTTCTGCATGGTGATCTTCTCATTGCCGGAGAGGAAGCCGCCATCGCCACCACCAAAGCCACCACCAAAGCCAGCACCGAAGCCAGCACCAAGGCCACCACCAAAGCCAGCACCCAGGCCACCACCATACCCTCCACCAAAGCCGCTACCCAGGCCCCCACCAAAGCTGCTGCTGCTGCTGAAGCCGCCACCGTAGCCGCCCCCCAGGCCACAGGCACCCCCGGAGGAGTAGCGGGAGGAGGAGACCGACAGGCCCCCGTAGGCGCTGGGGGCCCGGCAGGACCCTCCGGCCAAGACAGAGGACATGCGGCTGGAGCCACCGCCGATGCCACAGGAGCCCTTCATGGAGCTGGAGGAGGTGAACTGGCGGCTGCAGGTGGTCATGGTGCTGAGGAAGGAGGTGAGTGAGGGAGCGAGCAAGTCGGCAGCGAGGAGAGAGAGGTGATCAGGAAGGCTGGGAGGATGCTGGGGCTGCTCAAACCCCAGGAACTTTTATACACACCGGGGCAGGCGGGGCCTCCCAGCTGCTGACTTGCGGGCTCCCCTCCAGATTTCATCACTCCAGGTCCCATCCAACTCCCCACTCCGGATCAGGATTATTCAGCCCAGGGTCGACTCACTCCACTGGGTGCCGCTTGAGTTCCCACCCAGCTCTGGGGGTGTGGGGCCGAGAGAAAAACACACAAAAGCGAGTCGGTCGTGACTCAGGCTGGGTGGCGGGAACCCGGCTCTCGTTCCTGGAGCCTCAGGGCCCAGCGGGGCCTTGGCACAGCCTTGTGACCGCCGCGTCCCCAGGCTGTGAGTCAGCCCAGAACAGACTCCCTGCCCCACAGGACAGCCTTGACAGCAAAAGGCCCCAGCAATCAATGCCGGCCCAGGGTGTCTTGGAATGTGTTGTGGGGGTCCTACTAGCCCAGCTCTGGACCGGAGAGCTGGGGTGCTATTCTCACTCTGCTTTGCTCACTGTGTGACCTGACACCCCTTGCCTCCCCTCTCTGGGTCTCTGTTTCCCCTCAGGGAAGTGACAAAGCTTGGGCCAGGTGATCACAGAGACTTCTCTGATTGTAAAAATTCTCTGACTCTCTTTCCCTTATTGGATCCAATCCCAGTTCCAGTGGCTGCCTTTAAGCCCCCAGGATCCTCAGAAGTGTTGGGTACCATGGAACCAGCATGTGCCATTGAGTCAGATAGGCAGCGGCTCCCCACACTGCCCCTTACAAACTACACGGCACAGGCAGTCCATCTTGTAGCCCCTCTGGGCTTCGGTTTTCTCATCTGTAGAAGGGGAAGACACGCCACAGAAGAACATGCACACAGGACCCCCCTGGCTACTCCCTGATGGTGGCTCTGCCCCTCAGCTTCCCCATCCTTCCTTTGCAGCCAGCTGCCCCCTTCCTTCCCTCCTCACACCCACCCCTGCACCCTGGTACCTCCCTTCATCTATACCCCAATACTCCCATCTTTTGAGCAGCACACCCCCAATGTATGCCCTACTTAATCATGGATGCCCACCACAAACAGCAGTGGGAGGGAGTCCCCATCCTACCAGTAGTGCCCTGTGTGACTCCAAACCCCAATGGGGGCCCTGAGTCTCCACACTGGATCCGGGGTTCCATTCCCAACAGTTTTGTTTCGAGGATTCACAGATTCCGGGTTGGTCATTGAGTGGAGGAGAGAGGTGTCATATGGAGCCCTATGTGTGTACCACATGGTTCCAGCAAGGGAAATATTCCCACCACAGGTTCATAGACGAGGCAGCTGGGAGGTTAAGTGGGCTTCCCAAGACACCAGTCAAGGGGGAGTTGAGGTTTGGACCCCTGCCTATCTGCTTGCCCAGTCAAGCCCTTCCCGCCATCCTGAACCATCTTCTCTCTCTATGCATCGCCAACATGCATGATTGTATTGAATTAACCCTGTGAAGTGGGGAGGACAGAGGAAGAACCAGAGGGAGGGAGTGGTTCGCCCAAAGTCGCTCGGCTTTAAGCTGCGGAGCCAGGACTAGAACCCCAGACTCAGGGCATCTCCACTTGCCCATGATGCCTTGCAGGCTGGGACCAGGTGTGTCCATTCTCATTCACCTCCCCACAGCACCAGGAGTAAGCTCTGCCCACGGTGGGCATGACCTTGGCCTGAGGGCTGGAGACAGGATTGGGGGCATCTAAACCCCAAAACAAAAGCCACCTCAGGGCACTCTAGGGGTAACCCACAGAACGGCCACTGTCGCTGCTCTGACGTGCCTCTGTGGGCTTGCCTTAGCCTGGGTGGGGCTGGCAGATACTACGGGAACCAGCAGACAGGAAATGCTCCCAGAACATCGTGCCCTGTCGGTCACTCGGCTTGTAGGAACAGGGCCCAGAGATCTGAGCAGAGCAGGTGCCCAACACACACCTCCAGGGCCAGTCTTGGGAGACAGAACCCAATGCTCCCCTCTCCCAACCCCCAAAATGGGCAAATTGGGTCCTAGAAGCTTGGACAAAACCCCTAGTGTCAAGATGGGCCTGGAGTTCGGGTCCAAGCACAGACATATCACGCTCAGAAATAAAAAGGACCTCTGAGGCCACTAAAGACTACCGAGCCCCAAGCAGAGAGAGTGAAAAAATGTTCCGGGTTAAATAGGACAGAAATGGGAGCAGAAAATCAAACCGGGTTCCTGAGATTCACAAGTACTCTCCACGGGGTCTCTGGGAGCTCCTCCTTCTCTGCCCCAGAACACTCTCCACCTCCCTCCCTTCTGATTAGAGCCCTGCCCCTTCCACTGTTCCTGGGGTCCAGGTGGCAATGCCAGCAGGCCCGGAGCTGATGGCTGGGGATCCACGTGGGCTGAGAAGCTACGCAAAGTAGCCGGCCAAACCATCAAACCACTCAGACAACACCACAGACCAAGCTCCCACTGTGTGCCCAGCACCCGGGGCGTGGAGGTGGGGAAGATGGAGCAGGGCCCCTTTATTCCATGCCGACGAAACAAACCTACTTGAGGTTGCTGAGAGCCGGGATTGCTAGGACTGTGGGCACAGGGACTCACAGCAAACTGGCATCTCTCCTAAGAATGGGTTCCTTCCCCCTTCCCAGGCCTCTTTCCTCTCTCCTTCACCCGCCCCATCTCAGGTCTGAGGTCATCTCATACCTGAGTTGGCTGGGAAATATTATTGGCACGCCTCAACTCGCAGTGATTCCCCAACCTGACTGATCACCGGGATCCCCATTTAGATTCCCAACCTGCTCTGACCCACTGTCTCAGCATTGCCCAGGACAAGCCTGATCGTGGGGACGTTTTACAAGCTCCTGGGGAATTCTGCTGACCAGCCAGGCTTGGAAGCAGGATGCAGCCTAGGGGGAGGAAGATGGGGGGGGAGGCCCCCAAGGAGACTGAGAGGAGAAAGGGGGCTGCTGCAGGGCCCCAGCCCATGGAGCTTCAGGGCAGGGTGAAGAAAGAGGTCCCCAATGAGCCAGGACAGAGCAGCAAGCAGGAGCCAGATCTGGGCTGGACACTCAGTTATAAAGAATAAGGCAGAGAAGCCACTTATGGACAACCCCAGACAGTACAGGCCATGATGGGGTACATGGGGGCTGCCAGGAGGGAGCAAGAGTGCCCAGTCTGGGCTCTGGCCCCACGACTGGCCCCAGGATCTGGGCGAATCTGTAAGTGTCCGATGGCGGGCAGTCCTTTCAACTCTCCCCATGTTACACACCGCTCTTCCGAAGGTGGGGGCAATAACAGCCTATCGTGATGGTCTGCACAACCAAAGGGCCCTCGAGGGAACGCTCAGGGGAACCAGCTCGAGCTCTGTTACAGCCTTGGCTCTGGGCCCTGGCTCCAGTCCCTCTGCTCTCCTCCACCTCCCACCCCACCCCCTGCATAAGAACAGCAGGAGGATCACCAGCCCCAGCGTTGTGCCCTACCCACCACCTCTAAACCGGGGTCCTCCAGGGTCCCTCCAGGCCAAGGCACTTGTCTCCTCCTTCTGCCCAGGCCCAGTGCAGAAGCACAGAGGGACGCTGTGTCCTGGACAGAGTGTTACTGCCACACGGCCTCCTTGCAGAAAGCGGGGCCAGCTCACACGGTCAGGGTGTGGGCGTGGCAGAGGAAGAGTCACAGTGTCTGGCTCTGGCAGGCTCTGGGCCTGGAAATCAAGTCTGTGTGTCCATCACATGAGAGTGGGTAAGTCCGCTCCAAGGGCAGTCACAGACTGGTTCACTGATGGGGGAGGAAGATTTCATGCAAGGCGATGGGTTGATGTGGAGGAACTGTGGAGCCCCACAGCTGGGTCCCCCAATCTAGCCACAGGCACGCATCCCCAGCAGCCCAGGTTAACTCGGGGCCCCTGGACAAAAAATTCCAGCCACCGAAATTCCCCGCACCATCCCCAAGGGGACCATGGGTATCAGGCCCCAGTCACTCCATCCTGTGGCCCTGCCTGCCCAAGTGTGGGATAAGCACTCCTGGAAAGAGGGGAGCTTCCCCTTTCTGGGCCCTGGACCCTCCCCCGGGGACCCACATTCTCTTAAACCACACACCCACTCACTTTGTGGGCAGGGGCTTCTGACCCAGCAGAAGGGTGCTGTCCAGGGCTATCTTTGGCCACTCCCACACTGTGACCCCTCCCCACTCACCTCCCCACTCAGTAGGGTGGGCCCCCAGACTCTGCAGCGAGAGAAGACTCCTGCCTAAGAGCCTGGGTCAAGGCAGGGGGTGGGGCTCTCCTCTCCTCTTCCCAGCACAATCTGGACAATGGCTGAGTCATGGTTCTTTGGAGCCTCAGTGTCCCTATCCACACAATGGGGCGCCTCTTCCCAGACCCTCCCCGCTTCCCAGGACTGTTGTTCAGATAAATGAGATCACCCTCCAAATGAGCCATCCTCAACCCAGAGCTGGTTCTTCTGGTTGTGGCTGGAAGTGTGGCGGGGCCTGGTGGGAAGCACGCCTCCCCCTGCCCTTCATCCTTCATGGGCAGGCATCTGGGAGACACCAGCCTCTGATGGAGCGGAGTCTGAGCTCCCAGCCTGCTCTGAGTCTTGTGGCTGCCCCTGCAGACCCGGGCTTTGGACTCCAGCCAGTCGTCCCCACCGTGGCAGGAAACTCACTGTCCTCATCGTCCCCAGATCAGGGCTGGAAGGACCAACAGCTGGGGCTCATCTCTCTCCTCAGTCACCACAGCCTCTGAGGTATAGGAGCAGGTCGGGACCTGTCCAAAGTCCCACACCCACCTACTCACCTCATAGACCCTGCTCTTATACCACTGGTCCCCAGCTCAGCACCGCACCCCCTCCCAGGCTTCAGGGGCTCATGCTGATCCTGCCAGCCCCCACCTCTCATCTCTAGGTACCAGGAGGCCCCTGGTCCGATTCTACAACAGAAGACAGCCCCAGGCCTGTCAGCGAATTGG